AATTTATTGTCCGAAAATTTCACGGGTATAAGTTCAGTGATTTTTGAAACAATTCACTCGAAAAAACGCAAGGGTATTAGATCAACGCCGCCTAAATCACAACATCTTATTGGATTGGAATAGGAATACAAATGATTGAGTCAAAATATCTCTCGAAAATTTAAATAGTGAAATGAGAAATTCTTGAATTATATATTGTTCCAATAAAGTAAGAACAGATTCATACATAATATTGAAATGTCCATGCACAGATTCAAGAAAAAAAAACACTCAAACAACTTCTAGGATCTCATCCAAGGCGTAATTGTTTGTCGAAACATTAGCATAATTCACTTTGTTAAACCGCACAACAACTGGGTAGCGAGTCTTAGGATCCTGAAAATGCGCAAAACCATATGAATATCAGAAACAAATATGTATACTGGAACCACATGGAAATCCTCATACAAGAAACTTAGCCACACCCTTTACCTGGTCAACAGCTACAACTGATCCAACACCCTTGTACCAGTAGGACTCCTTGCGAAGGATTCTGACCTGTATTTATATTATGAACTGCAATGTTACCTTGATACATGTAATATTATGATATTTTTGCTTCTGATACACGACGACGAATTATTTCAAGAACGTTAAAAGGTCATGCAACTATTACACACCTTAGTTCCTCTCTTGGGTCCAATAGGAGGCGGCTTGGCCACTGGAGCAGGGGCAGCAGCTGGTGCAGCTGCCTCCTCGGCCCGTACTATCAGCCTTGAGTTGCTGTTTTTCCTTGAAGTGAAAAGTAGCATTCTGCTACGAGGCGTGCTTGTGCTGGAGATGACATTTGGTGTCACTAGAAATCCTGAGGCAGCAGAAGTCATGTTGCAACTTGCCATGATTTTCGTCGTTCCTCTCGAAACTCTTTGTGCGTGTAAAGAAACAGAAGAATACGGATCAAAGATTTTGGATAAGATGAACAAGCTGCAGGAGGTGTTTCTATTACTGTAGCCAATAGAATGCTGCCATCTGTGTGCTATCTCATCTTGTGGATAATGTCATAGCATGTCATCCACCCATGGTACTTCATTTCGACTAAGTTTTAAAAACTTACAAGTATTTCCTTAACCCTTGTTTGAGTAAGTTTTTTGAGATTATAAGTTGGTGAATTTGGTAAAATAAATAAAACTTGTAAATTAAACTAAATATATGATTAAAAATGAAATTTGACCAGTTTAAAATTTCAAAAAAAGTTTGCTAAACAAGGGCTAAATTTTCAATTTCCTAACCATTTTGTCTAATTTTCGTTGAAAATGTCATTATAAATCAAACGGTTTGGGATCTATAATAAAAGTTTAAAGTCGTGTCAAAGCTTGATTCAGGCAGATAGAATCGAGCAAGAATAACGATACACTATCATGAATTATTGATTACAGTTTGAGGAAAAAATTGAAGAAAAAACTCTCAATTTAAGAGAGAACCTAATTCTCACTTTTAATAAAAAAAAATTCACTGACGTCTACAATTGGGAGAAATAATGGGATTAGATTATGGGCTAAAATATGATTTTGGGGGAAAAAATTAGGCCCAAATTTGAAATGGACTTGATAGTTGGGCTGAATATTCCTGCCCCACCGAATTAAAAGAAGCGGAAATTACATATTTGAGTTTAACTTCTCAATTCAAAAAATCAGGTTTTAAATGTTTTTTTTAAAACAATCATGTGATAATTCAAACTTTTAATATTAATAAAGTAAATTACAACCTATCCCCACACATGAAATTTTACTCCCAAACTCTAAATCATTTTCTTCCCTCTCTAACCTCCCCCTTCTCTCCCTATCCTCTCCCCACCCTATCCAACCTACTGCAATGGTGGCATTGTTGTGGTGCGGTGATCGCGGCTCTCAATGATGAGTGTCGCTGCAGCGATGTTGTCATCACTATGAGCGTCGTGCGTGTCATTATGAGTGTCATTGCAGTTGCATCATCATTGTGTATGCATCGGTGCTGGAAATTTCGTTTCTTTGATCTATTTTTGAGGTGGTGTTGGTGCTAGTAGTAATGTTGGTGTTGAGGTGGTACATGGGTGGTGCAGGTGGTTTTGATGACGGTGGTGAGGTGACTCAACATTTGATTAATGTCCGTGGTAGGGTGGGAATTGAATGAATAGTGTTTGTGATCATTTGTGTGTTTGTGCCTAACTATTTAGGGGTGGATGGGTGGGGGTGGAATGCAGTATGTTTGTGACCAACTATTGGTGTCGGTGGAGGTAGGATGAAGAGTGTTTGTGATGAACTATTTGGATGTTTGTGATCAAATATTTGGGAATGGGGTAGAGTGAAGAGTGTTGTGACCAATTATTTGGATGTTTGTGACTCGACAATAACTTGCGAGCAATTAATTTGAGAATTTGTGATCATAAAATAATTGTGGCATATTAAATTTATGATTTGTAATCGAGAAATAATACGTGACATATTAATTTGATAATTTATTATCGATAAATAAATTGTGATCTATAAAATTTGTAATTTGTGATTGAAATGTAATGTATGATCAATTAATTTGATAATTTATAATCAATAATAAATCGTGACTGGTGAAATTGATGATTTGTGACCAAAATTGTAGTAATTGTGACATTAATATATCTATTTAATAAAATATATTTAATTATGACGTAAATTTTAAAGTTTTAAAACTTATTTCTTAATTTTGAAATTCTATATTTTAACCACCTAAAATATGTAATGTTCCCTTAAACAAAGTTTCACATATATTTTTTGGCCTAAGGGTCGCCCTCCGACGCCACAAGTCCGGCTCTAAAGAAGCAGTATAATTTTCACCATTTCCTCCACCAACTGCTAAAATTATTTCAGCCCCTGTTTGATGGAATTTATTTTAAAATTCATTTTTTATGTAATTAATTTTAACCACACATTCACACAATATAATATTCATAAATTTAAAACTTTTTCCTATTTTTTAATCACACACTTCAAAAATTCACTATTCAAAACCTTTTTTTTTTTTTATTTTGACGAATAATGACCATCAAACTGGGGCTAATACAGTAGTCAATCATAGATAGCTAACCAAACTAGTTTTAAATTGTCACAACAGCTAATGATATTGGGAAATTGTTGTGTTATTACTTATTATTCCATGACAGCTACTTTACTAGCTAGTCTTAGAAAATGGTCACAAATTTACTATCAAGTAACATCTGGTTATTCTTATAATATATAGAGTAACCTCTAAATTGCAAACACTTGGAGGTGATTAAATACAAGATAAAGAATATGATAGAAGTCAAGAAACTAAAAGGTGAGGAGAGGAGGAAACATATGGAATACGACGAACTGATCAACTAGTGACTTTGGTTTCCAATTATAGAAATCCCATTTCTGCATTGCCTAATCAAGAAAATCTCACTATCTCTTCTTTGATTTGACATCTCATCGCTTAGAAATCATCGTCTATAATAATGTTCAAATGCGTGGTGGAGTTCCTTTATACCCTGACAGAGTGCCCATTCCCCCAAGAAGGGTCAAATTTTACATTGCAGCTCAAAAAGTTTTTTACCCTAAATGCAAAAGATGGATTCCTCTTAAAAGTGATGGGATGTTGAAGTTGAAAACCCTAGTTTTTCCTTTTGCATTGAAATGAAGATAAAAATGTATTGCAACTTTTGAAGTTGGGACCACGTGCGATGTCTGAACTCTGACATGGATAGAAGATTAGAGTTTATTATTTTATTAGACACATTTCTGGCTTACAATTTCTGAGAATTTCAGGTGTGATTTAGGAAGAGACTGTCAGAAAAACTAAAATGATAATATAGAAAACACACCCACATGGATTCTTTTTTCTTATCGTAATCCAAAAATGGGGAAAAAGAGATAAGAGGTGTGTAGGGGGTGGGGGTGGGGGTGGGGGTGGGGGTTTCACAATGGTTTTCTGCTGTCTGTCATGCATTTTAATGAAGTAAAGAGAGAAAGAAGAGGTGGTGTGTGCATGCACGTGTGCGTGGTGGGGGTTCACAATGAGTTCTGCTCTAGCCTCTATGTCGTGCATTTTAATGAAGTCCCATTTTCTGTTCCTCATATTCCATGTTCTTACTATAAGTTTAATCTTTGGCATATTCGTAAGGGGCACATCGTATTTATTTTTGCATCAAAAGCGTATAACGTCCATATTTTTTTAGCGAATGATGAAGCGAACATGCTTCATGTACTGCACTATATATATGGGGCTTGTCTAGTTCAATCCATGTCCAATTAGAAATCCCTCTTGAGTGTCTTCTCCAATAAATAGGAATCTCTCTCTCTCTCTCTCTCATATGTCTAGAGTATTAGAACCTTTGATTGTTGGGAGAGTGATAGGAGATGTTCTTGATTCTTTCCCTCCAACCATCAATATGTCTGTTACTTATGGCAATAGACAAGTCTTCAATGGTCATGAGTTCTATCCTTCAACAGTCACCACTAGACCAAGGGCTGAGGTTTGCGGTGGCGATATGAGAACATTTTACACATTGGTACATACTCGATATTACTTATCCATCTCTCGTTGCTTCTTTTCAATTCTTATTGACAAGTTTGGAGTGTTATACACAATATTGAATAACATGCACAAACGAGATCTTAAACTTTTTTTTTTCCCTACACAAACGAAGATTATCGTGTGTTATCTAGCTAAGCATAGTTACATGTCTGGTTTCAGGTGATGACTGACCCTGATGTTCCTGGCCCCAGCGATCCATATCTCAGGGAGCATATACACTGGTATAACCTAAATACATACATATTCATAGCTTGTAAAGATCAATGGACCATGGGCATTCGGTTCCTTTTCACAAAAGATCATATCATCAAGATATGAATATTAACGAAGTAATACAATAATTCTTTGAACTTTTATATATCTAGAGGCTAGACCATTCCGCAGGAGCATCTGTTTAATCAAGAAAATAATAGAGGATCAGGTGATCATGCAGAATCACCTTGAAGAATAATAAATAGAAACAGGAAGTAGGGATAATTATAAGTAGGTGAAAGTGATCGGTGAATAAACTTGGAACTCCCTATAGGCTATAAGGTGTAAGAGCTAAGAATTCCTTAAACCGGACAGTGAACTAGCTTAATTACTTATTCATTAGTTTGCTGTACGAGGATGTAGTAAAGGAGTGGGGACGTTTTGGGGTGTCCATGCCTTCCGTGCCATCATAAGACTGGTTGTTTTCGAGCAGATACGGCTCCTGTAGTATCCAATAGGGACATAAACGTAAGAGCTAACTGATTCTTGTCTTCTATGAACCATGTTACAGGTTAGTCACTGACATTCCAGGGACAACTGATGTCACGTTTGGTAAGATATATAACGCCCTACCTCAAGCACAGAGTGGGAGAGGGCTTAATTTTCCTTTATCAATATAATAACGAAGGAATCATTGCTCATTCTGAAGACTAAAAATATTTTGACAGGAAGGGAATTAGTGAGCTACGAGATCCCAAGGCCTAATATAGGTATACACAGGTTTGTGTTCGTTCTTTTCCAGCAGAAAGGCAGACAAACAGTAAGCCCACCTGCTTCGAGGGATCACTTCAGCACTCGAAGTTTTGCTGCAGAGAACGATTTGGGCCTCCCAGTTGCTGCCGTTTTCTTCAATGCACAGAGAGACACGGCCGCACGAAGACGCTAGTTACAATCGATCGGTAGCTTTATCATGCTTTGTTTGCTACAATAAAGTTTGCTAGTGTACGTTTGGACCATAGTACTTGAAAATACCCCGACTACATGAATAGGCCTTCTTCCAAAAATGCTACCAATGTTTCCTATATGACGATGTTGTATGTATAAATAGCAAAAAAGTCTCTCAATTATGTGCACTGTTCTTACTTTGTGTGATTAATTTCGATTAAGAAGTTGATTAAATGTGATTATCAGTTACTTCTAAGAATTAAGTTCATGTATGGAAGTGGGATTGTTAAAACTGTGCACACAGAGTTATCATAAAGCATAAAATTTGTATCATAATAGGCAAATATTTTGGCTGTGTGGTTTACGAAGTTGGGTCTTTGGAAAATCTTTTTGACAACAATTAAGCTATTTGTACAACCGTTGTTGACAACCTTGGTGTTGTCAAAATCTGGACCGTTGATTTAAAAAATAGTTTTTAACGATTTTTAAAATGGGTGAATGTGATACTGTCCAAGTGTGAATCAACTAAGATTATACAAGTAGCGTGAATCTTTTGACAATGTAAAACAAGGGAGAATAGTATCGATTTATTTTAGGGAAATTTGTAGTAGAGGTCCTAAACATTTAAATCCTAGAAGTTACCTTCTAAACCTATCAATAAATGTATGGTAATAAGAACTTGTGTTCAAAAGTATCGTTAATTGACCAAACGATCATTTTTTTGAAAGGCGAAATGGTAAATCTACATTTTCCAACCTAAAACAATTAGAAGAATTAAATAAAAAGAAACAAAAGAAGGAGAAGAAAAAAAAGAAAAGAAAAAAAAAATCATCCCCACTTTCATCTTAGTTTCCATGCAGTTCCGCTCCCCCATGTTTGAAAAAATTCCTTGTGCATATCTATGATGGACCAAAAATTAAGGAGGAAATATTACATCATGATCACTGGCGACGCATGAGGAAGTGCAGTGGTGGAAGCGGCAATCACCGATGCAACGAGAGTACAAGATCCTTTCATCTAACTCGACAAGAGTACAAGTTAGAAGCAAGAAGCGTAGATATGTGTGTGTGCAATGGACGAATCCCAACGACTTGCCTTCGTAGGATCTTGACTCACCTCCGTTTTATTACCCTTCTCTCTAACTCCTTAGTATTGTGGTTTGGATTTCTTTTCCTACTTTAATATTTACCTCAATGATTGATTTGTGTGCGATCAATATGAATTTGCCATTGTTGTCTTTGGTAATTGCTTGTTTGGGGGTTTTTCTTTGGTTTTTTGCTCTCATTGTTGAGTCTCAACAAAATGTGAATCCTCCGTTGCTGCAAATTTCGTCACCTCTTCCACCATTGTGCTCGCCTCCACTGCAACTTATTGACTTCGACTCACCAAACACACCATCTGTTGATATCAACTCACCACCACCAATGGCTGTGTCCCGTCCATTCGTTTGGCCACCATCACCATTGGCTATGTCCCATCCATTCGTTTGGCCGCCGCCACCACCTCCATTGGCTCATTCAAAAACATAGTAGAATCACGTTTTGCAGAAATCTCGAGAGATACATTAATTAATTGAGGTGGGTGGCACTTTGTGGTAGGATTGAGGGGATTTGGGTGTTGGGAATTTACTTAATCATGTACAGTGAAAAATAAATTATTTTTCAATTCCCACCACGGATCTGTTTTGTGTTTAGATAGAAATTGGATTTAGAATAATACATTTGATGAATTCTACAAACTCCTCTACTGATTCTCGAACTCCAATAATCACGATCTGCAAGAATGACGGTTATGATTTTCTTTTCTTGTACTAGTAAGAATAATGAATTAATTTATACAGTTTTCAAACTCTAGCAGCTTATTAATATAGTCCAAGCTGGCTCAACCCGTCTATTAAATTTAACCCGGTCCAATATTTAATTAATCAAATTAATTAAATTTGGTCTATCAATTAATTAATCCAATTAATTAATTCGAGCATATTAATAAGCAACTCAATTAATTAATTATCCAACACTTGTCAATGAATTAATTGGCAAATCTCATTCTTTTGGTTTCTTTTGTGTGTGACCCATTAGGTTCCCGATCACAATACCTAACGACGTGAATTATTATTTTGATCTAATCAAAATCGATAAATTAAAACACCTCTTTTAATTTATCATTAATTCACATTCGTCGTCCTAAATTGACATCTAGCAATGTATCGTGCAATACATGTGACGGGAAATGTCATGTAGTGAGACAAAACCAAACTTGTTCGTTACCGTGAAACTATAATCATTTCGTCAATATGATCCGATCAATTATGAGATATGGATATGGATCAATTTCAATTATCAATCATATCTTTTATCCCACTATTAAATCAATGTAAGTCGAAAACTCCTTTTCGACTTATGATTTCACCTTGACAGAGATTTCATTATCAACTTAACTGGATAAAATGTAGATCATAATCTTTTACTATCTAAGAGTGACAAATCCTCTATCGATCATTCACGACCTTCATATGATTCTTGACATACCCGAACGATATTGTATTAGCGACCATTGACGGAGCAACATCCAACACCACCAAAGTATGACTATCCTCATATAAGACACTATGACGACCTCAAGTCAAATGACCAATTCCATTACCGAACGTTAGAGATTAACCACTAACACTCAAATAGTAATCCATGTGGAATCTCCTATCGGGTCTCCAATGTTTTGTTCTATAACAAAACATTCATATGTTCATTCAAGTGTCACTATACTTTAGCTTGTGAGATCAGCTACTTACTTCACAAGTAAGAATGCTACATGTGATGGTCTATCCGTAATAATCTATTTACTTCACAAGTAAGAATACTACATGTGATGGTCTATCCGTGATAACGATAACTGTATCTCATTATTATTTCAACCATGGACATTTGAGATTCAGTCATATGTAATTTGTATCTCACAATCACAACTCCTTGTAATTAACAAATTACTGAGACTTGAATCTTTGGATTCTATTATTTAATTTATTTGAATATTAATCCAATTAAATAATAGATCTTTCCCTAAATATGCATCGATTATGTACATTAAAAGTGTTTATGTCCAAAATTGATTGGACATAGGACATAACACTTACATGGGAAGGGAGGCAGCCAGGTGGGGTGGGACTGTGGAGGCAAATTAAAATGAAGGATGAAGAAATATATTTCTTTTGTTTTTATTTATTTAATTAATTTAATAATTTTAGGGGGAAAAAATACAGAGTTATCATTTTTTCCTTTTTAAAAAATAGGTAAATACTTGATTTTAGGCCAACTATCTATCTTTTGAACATCATTCGTCCAACAACTGTGGCTTAGTGATAGAAATTTCTTAACAGACAACACATGACAACATTTGCAACATTTGATTCGAAGTTACTAAAAAAAAAGATCATACAAGTGTTGGAAGTGCAGCACCTCCCAAAGTTCTTACACCACACGTTTATGGAAGGGCTTGAGATCTAGCTGCTAGGATTCAAGGTTTGGGATCGCAGGGAATATTTTGAAAGATTTGGAACCTCTATAGCAGAATTTCCTTTATTTTTAAATAAATGACTTCAATTGCTATATATATATATACTAGGTGCAAGCAACGTGCAATGCACGTTTGCCTAGTTTATATTTAATAGTTTTGTTTAATAATTAATTTGTTATTAATAAAGATATAATTTTTTTGGTTGGGCTAAATTGTAAGGGATCCAAAGTTCGGGGACTAAAATGTAAATACTTAAAAGTTGTGCCGAACCTCACGATGAAGATTTGAGAGTGCTCGGAGTCAATTGGATAAAGGAAGACGTCAATGGAATCAAATTTAGTCAAAAGATGATCACAAATCAATTTCCAACCGAAAAGTTATGCTCCGATGTTTTAGTCTCATATTGAGACCTATTTTTGGCATAGAAAGTGATCGAATTGGAGAATGATGTCTGAATCAAAATTGTAGCCAAATGAGTTAGCTTTCCAACTCATTCTGAATCGCCTCAATCGGACATCAGAATACAAAGTTATAATAAAAACATTGAAAGAAGGTGCAGCTGCACGTTTAAAACAAGAAATTTCGTTACATAGTCCGTTATATTGAGACCTATTTTTGGAATAGAAAGTGATCCAATTGGAGAATGATGTTTGAATCAAAGTTGTAGACAGATGAGTTAGCTTTCCAACGCATTTTGAATTGCCTCAATCGGATATCGAAATACAAAGTTATGATAAAAATACTGAAGGAAGGTGCAACTACCTGTTTAAAACAAAACATTCTGTTACATAGTCCGTTATATTGAGACATATTATTGGCATAGAAAGTGATCGAATTGGAGAATGTTGTTGAATCAAAGTTGTAGCCATATGGGTTAGCTTTTCAACACATTTTGAATCGCCTCAATCGAATATCGGAATACAAAGTTATGATAAAAACATTGAAGGAAGGTGCAGCTGCCTGTTTAAAACAAGAAATTCCGTTACATAATCCGTTAAAACAACAAATTCCGTAGTTTTTCCGTTAAACCAACAAATTCCGTTAAATAGGCACTTTTTATATATAGAAAGATATCGAAGCAACACCAAACACCACCAAATGTGAAAACCCAATCTTGCGATTAGTTTAACTATTGAAATTTCAATAGTTTCCAATTTGAAGAATTAATTAAATTAACAAATAAAGAGTAAAAACTCATTTCTCCTAGGATTGAAGACCTCCCATACAATTTAGGGGAAATTAGGCAAAATACGGTTCTGATGCTAAAAATTTGATTAATACGCTAAATATCTTTAACTTTTCATCGCCACATATTTAATACTGTAAGTGGAGCAATATTTCCTTATTCTTAAGCACCAGCACATGAGTAATTATTTCCTTAATTATTATTACCTTGATTAATGTGGACATCAAGTTTATTAATTAAAAAAATCAAATTCATCAACAATAGGGACCGTCCCTAATTTTCTTTTCTTTTTTTGTTTTTTCACG